ATTTCTTTTTCTTCTATTTTTTTTTTCACAGTACTGAAGTTTGAACTCAGGGCCTCCTACTTGCTAGAGAGGTACTCTACCACTTGAGCCATGCTCCCAGCCCTTTTGGCTTTGTTACTTTTTTGGTGGGATCTTGCATTTTTGCCTGGGGCTGGAAGGTCTCCTGATTTTGCCTGCAGCTAGCCGCAGACTATGATCCTCCTTACCTATGCCTCCCCCAAAGCTGGGATTACGGGCATGAGAAACCTCTCCTAGCCTTAATATTCTTCATATAACTAAGCCACACTTTCCTTTTGGCAAATCTCTTCCCCTGCCTGGAATTAAAAAGTATCCTCTGCTGATTCACAGAATTAGTCTCTGGGCTGTGAAGACATCAGTGTTTTTCTAGTTCAACTTTCCATCCAGTGGTTCAATTCCCTCTCAACAATCCTCAAGAGGGGCTCCTGTCTCTCCTTGACTGCCTCCAGGGACGGAGAGCTCACTGTATCACACGGAGTCAGCTGTGACAATTGACAGCTGAAAGAGAATCTCTTCCCTAGGCTGAGCTGAAGTTTGCCTCCCCGTAACTCCCATCCCTATGCTGTTCCTGGCTTTACTCCTGGAGGCAGCTAAGAGCAAATCTGCCTCTTGACTGCTTTTCCCACACCTCCTCAGGCCAGCATCCCTTCTTTCAGCTGCTCCCTAGTGACAAGGAGACAGCTCCTGCCAGGTTCTGCTGCTCCCTTGGCCTGTTAGGATGCAATCTCCTTCTTCCTCACAGTCTCTAGCTCAGTTCAGTCTAGCAAGTACCTATGTACCTCATCTGCCCTGGAGATATGCAGATGTTTGAAATGACTTCACAAGTCACTCAGAGATATAGTATACATCAAAATTATATATACACATGCACAAATATGTACATGTATACATATACAGATGATATATACATATGTATGTATACAGACAAACCCTGGGTTGTGATGGTTTGACTTACAATTTTTCTTTTTTACCATGGGGCCAAGTATTCAGAAGAAAACATACTTAGAATTTTTAGTTTGGATCTTTTCCCTGGCTAGTGATATGCAGTCCCCCACCCTCTTGCCATGCTGGGCAGTGGCAGTGAGTCACAGCTCCCAGTCGGCCACGTAGTCACAAGGGAGACAACCCACACTACCTACACAACAGTGTGCAGGGTTGCTAAGCTGCAATGTTGGGTAGGCTAGGTGTAGTCAATGCATTTTCTGTTTAGGATATCTTCAACTTAAAATGGGTTTATCAGACCAAGCATGGTAGCACATGCCTGTAATCTGAGCTTCTCAGAAAGAGGAAGTAGGAAGATCGTGAGTTCAAAGCCAGCCTGCGTAACATTAGTGAGACCCTATTTCAAAAGCCAAAATACAAATGAAAGACCTGGGGGGCAGGGCTCAGTCACTATAGCACTTGCCTAGCAAGCTGGAAGCCCTGAGTTCAATATCCAGTACTGTGTAGGGGAGGGAGGGAGATGGAAGAGAGAGTTATCAGGATGTAACCCCATTTTAAGTAGAGGAACCTCTGTATGTGATCACATATTTTATATGGCTAATGGTCAGAGCCTATATTTGGGGCTGAATAATAAATCCCGCAACATCGGGAGAAGTGGGTAAAGACTGGAAGAGAAAGGAGAGCAGGTTTTTGGGAGAAGATGGGGTGAAGGACAGTTGGGGGATGACTGGGAAACAAGATTTCTTGACCCCCTGCTAGGTGACTGACACCTTGACTTGACACACTAATGTCCTCTTACTACCCCTGTTAAGCTGTCGTTCTCCTGCTTTCACAAACAAGGACACTGAGGCTGAGTGGGGTAGGGGCAGTGCCATACTACCCTGCCGGCAACATCAAGCTTCGTTCTCATCCCATGTGGTGCTCGCTTTGCCACACCAAGTGCAGTGCAGGTTGGGAAAAAAATGACTCTCTGATAGATGATTTGGGTGGAATGCACACCTGCCCAAGAGGCCTGACTGCTCTTCTCCTTGGCCCCACCCCTGCCCTGCCTCTTAGCACACCCTCTGCAGAACCCTGCTGTTCTTGTTCAGAGGGCAGCAGAGCACCCCAAGGAGTCAGAGGGCTGAGAACTCATCACAGAGTGGTCCCCAGTTTATCAGATGCCTGGGGGCTGTCTTTTCTCTGGAGCTTCATGTGCCTGCCAGCTTTAAAGGGCTAAAGGTTCCTGAGCTACTGTTGTCAGGAGTCACCGAACTGTGCCCAATCTTGCTGTCTTCTCCTGGGCTTCTCTGTCTCATCCCACTGAATTTTATTGCCTATCTGAAGAATCCCAGTGGGGCTAGCTACTTTTCCAGCCAGGCTCCAACACATCAGGACCTGTGGGATTCTCCCCCAACCCTTCTTCATCCATCCAGTGCCAGTGCTTGCCCCACCATGCCGAGGGCATGGCTGGGACTCCAGAAGCACTCACTGTGTACCCTCTCCCACCTCCTGATTAAAGGGCCTTTTGGGTCAGGCACTCGGACTTTTATCCAAGTGGGAGTTTGCTTTTGGTATTGTCTTTTAGGAAGATGTACTGAATACTCTCAGTTTTACGTATAGATCAAAATAGGCTACCCATCGAAGACCAAATAATTAGGCTGCCAGACTAAATGGAAATGTGGTTTGAACTTCACCATCAATTTGGGATTCTAAGCCCCTGAGGGTAGGAGCTGAATATGATCCATCTTCTCTGCCTGCTGGCCTTGTCTGCATAGTGCCTGGCACTTAAGACGGTGGAAGGGAGAGTGTGACCTTTCCTCACCCTTCACTGTGTGTGGGAGAAGGCTGCCTCACCCATTCCACCCTTGGAGCTGTGTGGATGAGTAAATACAGGAGGAGAAACCTGGGCAGGTCTCATCCAGTTCCCAGCATGTTTTTTCATCATCTCATGGGGTTCTCACACTGTTGTACCCATTTCACAGATGAAAATGGAACACAAAAAGGTTAGGTGATCTCTAGGTCACAGGGAAGGCTGATCTGACCTTGAATCCAGATCTTGTGGAAGTACCCTGTAGTACCAGTGCCACTGTGGATGGGGGCTGGCTGGTGGTGAGGGGCAGCAAGGGCCACTCACAGCAGTAAATTATGCAAGTCTCCGTGGACGCCCTGGCAGGGAGGGGAGGAAGGCCACTCCATGGTGTGGTTTGCACAGCTGGGCCGTTTCTGAAGCCTCTTTGTAAGGAAAGGTCCTCCCAGAGGCCCCTCCCCACCACAGCCCTGGCTCCCTGGAAAGTGTTCTCATCACAGTGGACAGAAAGATCAGCACTGGCTACACCTTCCCAGAGCTCCGTGCTCCATCATGCCAGGCCCTCAGGTTCCTTTCCTTTTTGTTAAAGAAAAAAAAAAGTAGGTTTTCCTCCTCAAATCCCCAGGCACATGTGCCTGGATGTGCCCAAGGGACTGTGCCTGCTGCCTCCTGCTTAGTCTGTCCCAAGAGACAAGCTGGTCTCATGGGAGGAGGGGTGGATGGAGATCAGAAAGTGGGAATTCTGGTCCCAACTGTATTGCATGTCTCTGTGTGAGTGGGCAAGTCATGTCATCTCTGTCCAACACAGGAGGTGAATGGACACTCTTCAATGCCACCACTCTTCAATTATCCTAACTATCTTCTGGTTCTGGAGGGTCATGAGGGTGCAGGGAAGAGTTTTAGGGGCTCTGTTGAAGACACCTCCAAATTGAATAGTGCATCAGCCACTATGGAAACCTGTAGCATGAGGACCCTGCACTGGTAGAAAACCAGCCCTTCCCTAGCCAGCCACAGCATGCAAGGCGAGTTCCTCACCTCTCTGCCTCCCGTCCTCCTTGGAACTCTGGGGATTTTAATATTTTATAGGGTTGTTGTAAGGACTTACACGAGATAAGCCATGTAAATATTTTAGCACATTAGCTGGAACATAATAAGGTTTGATAAATGTTACTCCTGTCATTGCTTTGGGAACAAATGCCTACAGGTCTCTTTCCATTGGAATACAGACTGCTGGCTCCCAGAAGGTAACTGTCCTGCCACGCATATTCCCTCCCCCTGGCCTGCATTTTCAGTGACAAGGCAGAATAAGACCTTCTGTATCAGTGACACCATTCTGGACCCCTTCCTCCCACCACAGCCCCTAAGCAGCAAATAGAGGAGGAGAAGGGAGAATTCCTAACACATGGTCCCCTTTTTCCATTTTGTTCTGGCCTGGAGTCTCACTTGCTGGTGGGTAGTTCTAAGCTTTTTTTTTTTTTTTTTTTTTTTTTGGTGGAGTTGGGGTTTGAACTCAAGGCTTCACACTTCCAAAGCAGGAGCTCTACTACTTGAGCCACACCTGTAGTCTGTTTGCTCTGGTTATTTTGGAGATGGGGAGGGGTCTCTTGAAATATTTGCCAGCGCTGGTCTTGAACTATGATCCTCCTGATCTCAGTCTCCCAAGCAGCTAGGATTATAGGTATGAGTCACCAGCGCCCAACTCAAAACCTGTTCTTGTGATACATCACCTTAGTGTGACCACAAGGCTCTGAGAATTTCAAAGGGTTTTGCTAGATCTGTCTCGATGTCACATCCCGAGGAGTTGCTGGTGCCTGGGCACTTTACACACTACCTCATTAATGCTTGCACAGCCCTGCCAGCTGCCTCCTGCTACGATTCTAGCTTCTCGGAGGTGGAAACTGACTCCAGACATCTGGCTACATGGAGAGGTCCAGGAAGTGGGATCAGAAACCCGAGCCTAGTGGTCTCTTACCCCAGTTCTTGGTCACTGTGCACATGGATTGGCAGGAAGGATCGGGGACTCTCTTACTCCACCTAACATCTCCAAAGGAGCCTCATATGCTGCTTTAAAAGGACCTCTGGGAGATGGCAAGAGCTTCGGAATATTCCTTTTAATTTAGATGAAATAATGGAAGCCAACAGGCAGAGGACTTTTCTCCAGCACATGTCACCCTGAGTCCTGCTTTTGCCCAAGGATCTGTTGAGGTAGCTCTGCAGACCCTCAGGGGCTTCCTCCTCTCTCCCCTTCCAGGCCTTTTAAACCTAGAGAAGCTGCTGCGGCAATTCCTTATCTCCAAGGACACACTCTCAGTCCGGATGTTGGATGACACCCGGGACCCCACCCCACTCCTCAAGGAGATCCGGGACGACAAGACAGCCACCATCATCATCCATGCCAACGCCTCCATGTCCCACACCATCCTCCTAAAGGTGGGAGCTGGGCCAGGGTGGGTGCTGGGGGGTGTGGAGCATCGGTCCCTTCCCCTCCCTCCCTGTCTTGAGCATTCTCAAACTATGGTTGTCCTTTAGCCTGGACTGGATCTGGATGGTCCCTGGAAGCTGAAAGGCTGCTGACGCATCTGGCACGGCAAGGCAGGCATCAGTCAGACCTAGACCCTTCCAGGGCCTGATGAAAGGTCCAGATTTCCTAGGACATATGGGGTAGGGGGTGAAGTGGGGCACTTGGGGGCTCCAGCAGGGGCTGATTGCCAGGTGGCATAGATGTAGCTCCATATTTTCACACCTGTGTGTGTACCTGAGTATCAGTCCAGACTTTAGCTCCAACACTGTGTTCCACAGTTTACAAAACACTCGCTTCCCTGTGATTTCCCAATATGGTCCTCTCAATGGTGACATGGGCTACATATGGTGACTTCACCCTACAGATGAGGAAGCCAAGGATCCTCAGACAAAACTGCTAATAGCAGTGCTGTGGGTAGCAGAGCAGAGCCTGTGGGGTTCTCTACTAGTCACAGCCAGGCGCTTTCTCCTACGCTCCCGAAGATAGAGGGACTGGGGCCAGCTGAGTAAGAATCACATGTGGAAATTGAACATTGAGCAGCCCTGGTGTCACCTGGCGTGGGCTCCTGAGCTGGTGGCTGGGCTGGGCATGCCAACCTCAGAGAAGAGGCCCTGCTTCTAGGCTCTTCCCTGGCTCTTCAGCTTCTCCCCCAACCTCTCAGGCACAGTAGCCATTTTAATTGCACATTTAAACACACCCTGCCATCTTCCATGGGGGATCGAGGCTCCTCGTTAACCTCTGCCAGACTGTGAGGAGCCTGGTAGACACTCAGATGATTGTCTCTTCCTCTCCCTCCCTGCCAGCCTCTTTCCTTCCTTCCTCCTCTCCCAGGCCTGGTTTTTGCCTGAGAGTTAATAAGAGATTTGAATGAGTTCTCTCAGTACTGAGAGGGCTGTCCCTTTAGTCCGTTGCTATAGTAATTTCACACAGCACCAAAGCTGTGTATGTGTGTGTATACCCAACTCTCTCTCTCTCTCCTCTCTCTCTCTCTCTCTCTCTCTCTCTCTCTCTCTCGCTCTCTTTCTGTCTCACTCTTGCTCGCTCGCTCGCTTGCTCATGCACATATACACTCAAACCTGCCCCCTTTTTTTCTCTTTTCTTCCTTTTTTTCTTCTTTTATGTCTGGAGCTATCTCAGTAAAGTCATTAAGGACAGAAGGCCCCCACTGGGTTTTGGAGCATGTGAGAGACAAGTTGAGGGGTCATCCTTGGGGAGCAGGGGTTGAGAGCTTCAGCTTAGTAGGTAAATGTCCCTCTAGCCCCTATGGGGAGGGTGGTCATTGGAGCTAGCCTAAACAGCCTCCAGCTGGGCACCTTTGGGGTGCCCGAGAATACTGCATGGCTCCTAGCATATGAAATTGGTACCCCCTGCCACCACACTGCAATAATGTGAGTAATTCGTTGTTGAAATGGAAAAGCACATAGAAGAAAATTTTTTAAAAAGTTATTCGTGATCCCATCACTCAGCTAACCACTCGTAAATTTTGATGTCTATCCTTTCTGCTTCAAATGCATTCCCCCCACTCAATTGTTATGATACCGCACAAACTTTTCCGCAAGCTCCTCTTCAAGCTTAATTTTGTGCCATGCATTTCCCCCATGTCGTTAAATTTTTTTCTACATATATTTTAATGGCCACATCATTTCTTATCATAGAAATGTGTCCTATAATTTATTTAACAATTCCTTTAATGTTGGAGAAAACGTGTTGTTTCTAATCTTTTGCTGTAGTAAATAAAGCTGGGACACACATCTTTGTACATAAATTTCCTTAACATAAATTTCTTGAAGTGGAAGCCTGAGTTAAAGGTATGAATTTTAAGGATTTGGGGATGATTCTCGTCATATTGCCTTTTAGAACTCTGTAACAGTTTACACCCTCAGTAGCAGCATACAGAAATCTTACTGCACCCTTACCAGAACCCAGGAATTTCCATTAAAAATGCTTTGTAGGGTTTTTTTGTTTGTTTGTTTCTTTGGGGGTTTTTTGGGTGTGGAGTGGTGGTGATGTTTTCAGAAGGCAACTCTGTCCCTAATGATCTTCATTAGCAAACAGTTCTGCTGGTACCCTGTGACCATCTTTCCTGAGTCCCCTGCAGACCCCAACTCCTGTGTCTTTGCAACCAAACTGATCAATAAACAGAGAGGTATCAGGAAAGCCTGTTCCCACTTGATGTCCTGGTAGCCTCTGCCCTGGGGCTTCCTGGGGCGCCATGTTTCTTCCTCTAGGGAGTCCACGGGGCTTTCCCAGGGCTTGGTGAGGATGGATGCAGCGTGGGAAACTGCATGGGCAAAACCTTTGGGAGCTCTGGTGTGCGCATGGGAGCCCAGCCCCTGGAGCTTGCCAGCCTTCAGCAGGTCTCTTGATTCCAGGAGGATTTGCACAGTAATCCCCTATTTTATTGAGTGGCTGTTCTGGCAATGGACTCCATGTTTACCCAGAATTTAGGTCTTAAAAACCAAAGATCTCTTGTTTTTTATCTTTAGAAAAGCAGATTTCACAAAATAGATTTTAACTGTGCCCCCCAGCCCCAGCCAGCAGCTCACGTGGGTCTAGGAAGTGTGAGAGTCAGTGACCCTCCCAGGGAAGACGTGAGCGTGTATGGTGGAGTGTGGATGGGGGACAGCTTACTGCTAGTTCCTCCTCTTGGAACTGGGAGAGGCAGCCTAGTTGTCTTAGAGAGAGAAGGAGCCTCACCACAGAGCCTTGACCTCTACTGTGCCCTCCCTCAAGTGGCCGTGCCCTTGTCACTAAGCCCTTTGGCATTCCAGCTTTTCACTGGGACCATGGTAATGCAATCCTGGGCCTGTCCAAGCAGCCTGCGAGGGCTCCTATTTGAGTGCTCACAGAGCTATTTGAGTTTCTTGGGAGATAAACACTGCATAAAAAGGACAATGCAGTCATCCCTGGTCTTGTTTCTCCCGCATCTCCATCTGCCACAATAGTCATGACAAGAACCAGCTCCCGGTGGCCCAGGGCTGCAGGGTACGTTATGAGAATCTAACCAACTGTCAGGAGGAATAAGGACCCTGGAGAGAACCTGGCTCATTAGTTACCTGATCTACTTGTCACTTCCTATAGCTCCTGTCACACTCAAAGCTGGGCACACTGACAGGGAAGGTTGGTTAGGGGTATTTATGATGGGTACAGAGTGATCTCCAAAGGGAGGCTGTTCTGAAGCCATCGTTCTCAGCTGTGGAGTGATGCTGTACCACTGTGCTGTGATCAAGAGCAAGCATGTCATGGGCAACTTGCTCCTTCCACAATAAAAGAGCAAAATTTGCGACAATTCACTTGTTTCCTAGATGACTTCAGGTGCAGAATATCCTCACGGGTCTCACTAGCACTCTGACCTGACCAGGGCAGAATTCATTTGGGTATTGCCTACAACCCTCCGACTCACTCATCCATCTATACCCAGGCCCCTGAGAGGATTGGGTATGCAGTTCCATTGATATCATGGTTGTCCAAGGGGAGTATGGTTTGATTAAAAGCCCTGAAATTAGGCTGCCTGGCTTTAATGCCATCTTTTCAGTGCATGAGACAAGTGATACTTAAAGGTGACAGTCTGTTGTTCTGTCATTTCCTCTGTTGTAAAATGGGGGTGGGAGAAGAGTAACTGTGCTTATCTCGTGTGGTTAACCCAAACAGAATGCCTTATGGTGTTGGTGCAGCCTGAACAGTGGATAAACGTTAGCTGTTGTTATCGTTAATAGTTGTGGAGGTAATTATTCTAGTCTGCTTTATTATTTGCTTCATTTCCCTTAAAGTCATTCTGGTTCCCATAATATCTAGTTTTATTCCATGGGAGTGTGTTAAGCATGAGAACATCAGCTACTGTGTGTGTCACCAGTGGTGGGGAGGGGAGGGGTAGGAGAGGAGAAACGCTGCTCGAGAGGCTAATTGTTGCTGTGTCCAAGATCAAGGACAACTGAAGAACTAGTCAAGATGTTCTGCCCTGCCTGATCCTGAATGGTGATAGGTCAGACAAATGGCAGATTCTTGGAGCCCTCACTTTTTTTTTTTCTTCTAACCTCCTTCTCTTTACTTTGCAGGCAGCTGAACTAGGGATGGTGTCAGCGTATTACACATACATCTTCACTAATCTGGTAAGCCATTTTCACAGTTCCCCTGCTTGGCGTAGTGTTGTCAGTGGTCCAAGTTCATAGGTTGTGATGAAAGGAAGCCCAGAAGATGGGGTGTGGGGAAATAGAGGCAGAGGAGCAGAAGGCAACTAGACAATCTGGGCATTTTGGACACATGGCAGTGGGTCTCAGAGCCCACTGGCATTCTCACCCCAACAATTCTTAGCCTTGGAAGAATGGGAACTTGTGGCCTGTAATGCCACCATTCAAATGGCACTAGCTATGCAGCACTGGTTCCCCTGGGCAGCTGTGTGATGGATGAGCCTCCTGGGAAGCACCAGGTACTGTCTGCAGTCAGATCTCCGCCTTGCCAACCCCCATGATAACTCAGAAGGAAAACCAGGGCACTAAACGTCTGCCTGTCTTATGGTTTTATTACTGTACAAAACCTCTAGAAGTCATCTTAGCCAAATCTCTTATTTTACGCATGAGAAGGCCGAGATCTGTAGAAATTTTATTAAATCAGGTTCAAGCATCAGCTTTGCCAATACCAACAATGTGTGCTGAGTTTTGGTGCCCTGATCTCTAAAATGGGGATATGAACAGCTACACCATTAAGCTGTTGTAATTTTGAAATGAAGTGATTTAATCTATATGGAAGAATTTTGAAATTGTAAAGCATTAAGAAATGAGAAAGTAGCCAGGTGCAGTGGCTCATGCCGTCATCCCAGCTACTTAGGAGACAGAGATTGGAGATCACAGTTCGAGGCCAGCCTGAGCAGAAAGTTAACAACACTCCATCTTAACTAATCCATAAACCAGGTGTGGTGGTGTGTGTCCCCAGCCATGTGGGAGGTGATAGATAGAAGGATCACAGTCTGAGACTAGCCCTGGGCAGAAACACAAGACCCTACTATCTGAAAAAATGACTAAAGCAAAAAAATATCTGGGAAGGTGTGACTCAAGTAGTAGCAAGTGCAAGGCTCTGAGTTCAAACTTCAGTACCATCAAAAGAAAAACCCAAAAGAAATGTGAATTTTTGTAATATCAAAAATTGATATTCTGTAATATCAACAGTCAATTCCAGAGTATGCAGAACCTCAGAAAACAAGGTTTTTTTTTTTAATATGTAACTTTTTATTTGGGAATAATTATAAGATTCCTAGATTACTAGATGTGTTTGCAGAATGTTCCAGACCCTCAAACAGGGGCCTCTTGCTCAACCTGGCAGTCAGGCAAAGCTTCCTTGGAGAATGGACCTTTAGGCTGTGCCCTGAAAGAAGAGTAGGAACTTTCTAGACAAACAAGGAAAGGAAGAGCATGCAGTGCTCCTAGTGTACCCAGGAAATAACGAGCTCCTTTCTGCAATTCACCGTTCCAAAGATATGCATGTCGTTTATGTTTTACTCCTCTGTTGGCATCCATCTTTGAGGATAATCTTTCTGGAGGATTTACAGCAGATATCAGTTAGTTGAAGGAGCCTTGCTAAATTAGGAAGCAGAATACAACCTCACAGCTTGGACTCTTCAGCCTTAAAAAGAGAAAAGCTACCCAGAAATGAAGACTTTCCTGTTGAAGGTGTGTCATAGGATAATGTAGGAGGTCTCCCAACCTGGACCTAGGGGCCAGATCTCCTAAAATGTCCTGCAGCATGTAGGAGGTACCTGTTCACAGAAAATGACATGGGCTTTGAGACCCTCGCTCTTTTCTACCTGCAGGTGTCATAAACAGCCCTTTCTTGGGGCTGCTGTGGAATTCCTAAGAGACCTCAGAGGAATGGTGCATGGCCTTCCCTCTGGTGTAGGTACTTCCTCCACTGGGACTTGCCAGAGTCATTCCCCTTTGCTTGAACTTGAGTTATAAATGGCTGACTCACCCCTCCCCACCCCTACCCCGGTCCAATTGCCTGCCCTAAGGCTGAAATTGCTTATTGAAGTCTAGATGCACGTGGAGAGACTATGTGTATTATATGTGCACAGTGCAAAGAACTTTCTCCAAAAGAGCACACCTGTGTAAGCAGTACCCACATCCAGAAATAGAACCTCACCAACACCCCGCGCTCCCTTCCCTCAAAATGTAAAACAGAACAAACTTCTTTGTTTGCCATTTTTGGGTTGTTTTTTTCTTTTTTTTTCTATCCAATTCTGCTGCTGCAAATCAGAGCATTAACCTGTAAAAGGGAAGAAAAGGATTAGCTATTCCCAGAGCAAAACAAGAATCTTTGCTTAAGGTAAGGAGGCACCTAGGGCAGGCTGAGCGAGTTGGCAGGAGAGGAAAGAGAGATTAAAGTACATTTGTGCTCCATTCTGGGAGCCTGGGAAACAGAGGGAGGAGGGACAAAAGGTGTGTGTGGGTGGAGGAGTATTGCATGTGTCAGGGAGCCCCTTCCCCTACTCTGCTCTAGGCAGCAGCATCAGGGCAAGGCTGGGCAGCCCTGAGTCATTGGGCCACTGGACAGGTAGAAGGAAGGAGGACAGTCCTTTGAAATAGGAGTTCCCAGACCATACAGAGCTTCTTTGTGGCTTGGAGATTTTTAGGAAGACAGCAAGCATCATCCACACCACACTGTTAGCAGCCTTCCCCCTTCTTGGATGAGAATGACGTGGTCACATTATCTATTAGCAAAAGTTCTGGTCTGTGAAATCAGGACACCCAGGGCCAAGTCCACACTCTGTTGTTTCCTTACTTTGGGACTTGGGCTGAGCCCTAGTTTTCTCCTGTTAAGAATGAGGCTGACAAAACTTTACAAGGTTATTATGAGGATTAACCAACATTCTCTAAGTAAAAATGTGTCGTAAACCGCAATGCCGTCTACGTCCCTAGGTAGTGTGTTATTTTATGTAACATTAGGATGCTTTTGGCTTGCGAAGGGCTTCCTCCTTTTTGGGAGGCAGCTTCCAGGAGTGAACCTCTGTCGGGTTCTTTGAACCTGGAATTAACGGGACTCACATAGAAGCCAGAGAACCCATGGTGTGAGTGATGCTGTGTGAATAATAGTCAAGAAATTGAAGCAGAACCATGGCCAAAATCAGTCAGTGAGAGAATATTTAGAAACTTTTCATTAGGGCCCTGGGTTTCCAAAGGGGTGGAGCTCCAACTGGAGTCAAACATGTTTTTTAGGGCCAGTCTTCCTGCCACCATGCAGCTGGGGTTTCTAGCTAAATAAGAAGGGACTTCACAGAGGGAAACAGTTATCTTTGGCATCTCCTTCCCCTATATGGATGCACCTGGGCTTTCATTCTTATTTATTCTCATTCTAAATTCCTTAGGATTCTCATCATGTCCCATCTCTCTGAGTTTTGCTGAATTCCAATTCTGGTATGGGATACTGGGAAAGGCACAGGTATTAGGTAGACAGGACTTAAAATTCTAATTTGACTAGCTCCCAGCTGTATGATCCTGTGCAAGTTCCTTAACGTTTGTGAGCTCAGTGACTTCTTCTGTAAGTAGATACTAATGGTACCTGCCTTAGGAAAGCAATCGGCTCACTATATGAGTTTAATAAGGAGGAGTTATTGGGTTTTTTTTTGTTGTTTATTTATTCACATGTGCATACATTGTTTGGGTCATTTCTCCATTGAGTTATTGTTTTTTAAAGTCCTGTTTTCGATTTCATGGGTTAAAAGGAATGAGAGACACATATTTTGTTCCTCTGCATGTAATGGCCTGTAAAAATGACTCCTAAAATGCCATTTTATTTATTTCCAGAGACTAAATAGAGCTAGGTGGTTTGGTTATTGTGTGTAACTGAAGCTACCATTACAGGATTTATTTGTGTTGGTAATTACTGAGTATTTGGCCAGGTCCCCATGCCTCAGTCACATCCAGGCATTCAGAAGACTGATTCAGGGCATCTCTAATAAATGGTTTAGGTTGACTGCTCCAGATTCGATCAGTTGGTTACCCATCACAAGAGATGGAACAAAATGATCCATCATGAATGAAAGTTCAAACCATCAATTCATTTGAAACCCGTGCACAGGGACAGACCCTGCCCAGACCAGAAGGAGAGGTCAGGGACCAGAAGTATATAAAACACCCACATCACAGAAAACAGCAATAGATGTCCAGGTTTCTCATTTATATTATATTTCTTCCAAGATGGGTTTAAGGGTAGTTTGTACTGGTGAGAGGTTTGATCAATGAAATGTTTTTTGCCCCTGTTTTTGGTTCTAATGGGTCAGGAGCCATTCTCAACAGAGGAAACTAGATCAGATCATGGCTAAGGTGGAAGCCCAGGCACAGAAGGCCAGCTTGTGAGATCCAAATCATGAGAACTTGAGGGATAAATTGAAAGCCAGATTTGCACTTAGCCAGAGCTCAGGTACATGAAGAGAAACCAGGCAGAAGCAAGGTCTGGCTGGCAGACCAAAGTCAGATGTTAAGAGTACAGGCTGAAGTGAGAGAGGGACCGAATAAGGGACAAAGAAAGGCAAACAAAATTCTGTGCAAGGTCACAAAAGACAGGTGTGTACGTACCTCTGAGAGCTCCTTGCTGTCTTTGATAGGAAATAACTGGGTTCTTCCTTCCTGCCTCCTTTCCTTCCTGCCTCCCTTCCTCCCTCCCTCCTTTCCTTCCTTCTCTTTTTTGGAATTGTTTATTGTGCAATGTATAAATGGCATCAAATTTGCCACTTTAGCCATTTGTAAGTTTACAATTGAGTAGCATTGCTACATTCACATTGGGTACAACTGCCACCACTGTCTATTTCTAAGACTTTTTCCCAACACTAATGAACTTTGTGCCCACTAAGTATTGGCTCCCCAGACCCTCTCCCCCACCCCTGGCACCCTCTGGTCTTCCTTCTTCTCTTTGACTTTGCGTCTTCTAGTGTCTTGAATAAGCAAAGTCATACAATATGTTTCCTTGTGTCTGGTTTATTCCACTCAGCAAAATATTCTCTAGGTTTGCCATGTTGTAGCATTTATTGGAATCTATTTCTTATTTTATGAAAAGCTTTTTCTAATTGTGGTAAAATATACATAACAAAATTTCCATTTTAACCCTTTTAAATGTACCTTTT